CAGTGACACTGAAATAGGTCACAGAATAAGTTACTTAAATGTATTTTATAACTTGTTTTAAGACTGCATGCATTTCCCAACCTACAAAATTCTAAGTTACCCAAGAAATATGCCAGGTTTATTTCATGATCTACTTAGTTCAAACATGAAAGCTATATAAAGATCTTTGGTTTACAAAACTGATGCCTTAGCAGTTGGTTACCAAATCTTTGGAAAAAATAACTTGGCTAACAGTGACAAGTATCAGTGAGCCGACTGTTTAATGAACTGCACTTACTGACAGACACTGCATACTATAAAAGCTATTGCGTGCTAGTGTGTTCCCAAAGTACGACAATGTGTTTTTCAATTTGTTTTCTTGCTGTCGTTTGTTTCATTTAACTTTCCTGCTAATGACAAGATCATTGTACTTTGTTCAAGAGGAGATAATTCCTTTTTTTAAAGCTCTTGCCAACAAAAGAACTCCAAACACTATGGCACAAAAGGATTATGTTTAGAACAGTTTTAAAGGAAAAAGAAACACCCCAGACTAAAAGCACAAATCTATTTGGTGCATTTCCACACTTTTTTTACATGAAGTGAAAAATTAAAATGAAAAATACATACAGTTCATCAGAACACTGGTCTGACCAAATTCATAATTAACATATGGAATAAACAACAGTTTTATCAATATTTTAACAGGAATACTTTAAAAAATAAAGTATCCTTTCATTCAGCAGTAGAAAAATAGAATAAAATCTAACTTCAAATTATGCATTAGAAATGCAAAAAGTTTGAATGATTAGTCTTTTAAAATGCAAACAGGACCCCTTATTCATACCTAGAATATTCAGACATGATCTGACAAGCCCAGCAGATATGTACCCAATCCTCTCCAGCATCTTAGAAAATATTTGGCACAAGGGAAATTCGGCGTGTCCATTCTGTAAATGTGGGGAGCAAGTGGGACAAACAGAATGGTGCTTCCTTCCCAAGAGCCTTTGCCAAAGCAGGCACAGCCCTATACCCAACATGTATGGACCTTGGGGAGGGAAGCAAACAGGGCACCAGGGTCCCCAGGAAGCCTGGCTATGGTGCTGCTGCCATTGGAGCTGATGCTGCTACAACAGCAGCAGCAGCCCAGGGCACACAAGCCTTCCTTTCCCTTTACACACTGCCCCCCCGGCCCCCCACCCAGTTAACAGTGGTTGACATACTCTTGTCCCCAACCCCACTCTGCTCTGGGTGCTCAATGAGCTTACTACACCTCTGACCTTGTGGAACTCATTGCCAAAAGATGTTGTAGCAGTTAATAATTTAACCAGGTTCAAAAGAGGATTGGATGAAGCCAGTGTTATTAAAATCAGTGGCAGGTCTGCCATGGGGTACTGATCTAGATGGACATATGTGGTCTGTATATCAGTATTTATGTTCTTAGGTCTACGTTCTCAGTGCTCCATTAAGGTTCATGCCCTAATTTCAAAATTTGATTGTAAAATACAAGCTCTCCACAGCTGAACCACCCAACCCACGGCACAGGGACTATAACACTGCTCCTACCTAGTAGCTTCTCAGAGACTAGCAACCCTAAAGAAATTAGGATGAAGGCAGGGTGATGGTCACTGCTGCCTACATGGGGCAAAGCATTTCCCTGCCTTTTACAGGTGTAATGGTCCATTCCACTTGCATACCATGGAGCTAGTATGGGTCTGTGCCTTAATTCATCATTCAAACCTAAGAATTTTAGCTTTTCATCACAGGCATATTTGAATTATCAGAAGTATGTGCAGGACATGCTTCTGAAATTCTTAGTGAAAAATCCTGTTGAAGGCAAGGAGAAACTTGCAGCACTGGGCCCTTAACCACAAACCATCTATGTTAAGCAAAGGACACAAAAGATTTTAATTAAAAATGCCAAGTATGATGTGAGAAACGTGCAGTATATAGAAAAGGTACCTAGGATAAATACTTACAGATTGAAACAAATCAACTAAGAAAATTTCAAAATAGTTCCAATACATTGTATCCCACGAGGCTAAACAAGAAAAGTAGATGTTCCATGGAGCGTAACTGGACTCCATGTTTTGACCACCAGTAAAAGAGATGAATTGGGAATCAGGCCAGAATAGTTTCTAATGCTGCAGCTCTCTAACAGGACTTTTTTTCCAATAAGCTCTGCACAAACTGCATAGAACCTTAGATTCTTCTACAGGATCACACATAAGAGGGCCACAGTTGAAGATAATGGAACAGAAGTGTGGTTTGACAAAAGGGTGAGGTCTTAGATCTACCCTGTGTAACATTTTACTCCTTTAACAATTATCAGGCACATTCAGTGCTGAGGAGATGTGGTAGAAGAGCAGCCCTGCGGATGATTTAGCTAAAGAACAGGTATCGGTAATGGCAGCACAACTTTCTTAACAACTGCTAGAGTGATCTAGAGCAGGGGGTGGTAACATATGGCCTATGGGCCAGATCCAGCCCAAGGAGCCTTTGGATCTGTCCTGAGAAGCTGTGGGTTCAGCAGCACTTGGCAGCAGTGGACTGTGCCACTCTGCAGCGCAATCAGGTGTCCAGAGTTCTTGCAAAGGGGGAACTCTCCCTGAAGCACACCATGAGGGGTGACTGGGAGATGCAGAGCAGGTGGCTGGGACCCAGTGCCTCTGGTCTCAAACCTAAACTGAGTATTTTTTGGCCCCCTGCCAGGAAACACTGCTGACCCCTGATCTACTGTTATCACATCTAACAACAAAGGAGCTGGATTCATTGTTATTATTTAGTCCTCAGCCTCTCCATTGAGACTGGGAAATAACATTACTTGCCAACTAGAAGACACAAACCCATGCCAGATACATAACCCAACACTGGCTAGCAACTTTCCATTACTACTGGGTAAGATTACAACCATTAATTTAGAACTGAAAGAGTCCACTCAACTCTCTCCCCTTGGCAAATCCTACTCCCTACCTTATGGCCTATTTTTGTTGAAAAGTAACATACAAAAAGGTCATACCAGTGACATGTACATTCTGTTTGGTGACATTAATAACATATATGAGCCTCTTCTGATGCAAACTCAAGATGACATTTGTTACATGTAATTTTATATATATGGTTAATTCAAGGTACCAACTACAAAATGGACTGAGAAGTATTACACATTTGTATAACTAATGAATAGGTTATGGCAGCTTTGCAAAGTCCAACTTACTCCCTGAAGCTAACAGATTTATCTTTCTGATGGCCAGGTATGGCACTACTTTTTTATCACCAATATCTTGGTGGTAATTGAGTACCAAAGTAGTTTTGTGTGTGGGCTAGTAAATTCTTACAACCATTTTGCAAGACTGGAATACATTCATGTAGAGTTTTATCATTTGTGACAGAACTGGATAATATTTTTCACTTAATAAGTAATCCAAGTATGACTCAAGTAAAAAACTACTAATGTAAGATAAACATCATCTTCATGTTATTTAACTGTTTCAGAATACCATGTAGACAAGAATACAACACAATAGAAATGGAGTAACAGTCTACAGCATTTCATAGTAGGCAGCAAAACAGCAGAAGGCATATCACACCAGCTTTAGTCTGAGATATTCCACTGCTCGAGTGGCATGTCACAGCTCTTCTTTGCCTTACACTGTGAATGATTGGCAAGCCATGTGTTAGTGCATATGCTGCGCTAATTGCAAAATGGTGTAATGTACACTTTTCTGAAGTACTGAATAGCACAGGTCAGTTCTGTGGAATCTGGGGCTAAAACCAACAGAATAAGAGTTGGAAAAATGGGGGCAGACATTCCATACTGCACTCCCTGGTCAGGGGAAGGTAGACCTGCAAGGTGGCTCAAGTCCAGTCCCCTGTGTTCTTAGGGAACAATTTGTTCAAAAGGGACGTGAGTACATGAATTACTACTAGCCAATGATTATTCCTCATATAATACTGACCAGTAGGCCTGTGTGAATAGGGAATATTTGATTCAGATTTGGCCAATTCAGAGGACAGTGATTCAATTCAGTGATTCAAATCACTGTC